GAGCGACCTCCATGACTAAGCCGATGCGGCGCTCAGCAACCCCATTCTGCTGCGGAGAGGCCGGAAGCGTGAACGACTGGGTGATGCCGTGCTCCGCACAGAAGGCTGCCAAGAGGTCGGAGGAGAACTCACCACCTCTGTCAGAGTGCAGACGCAGGACGGGAAACTCCGTCCCGAACCGCTCGCGGAGCTGGAGACGGGCAGCGCGGATCCAAGGGATCAAAACAGCAGGGACCTCCCCCTTGCTGCGCAGGGGAAAGACCGTGGTGTAACGCGTGTAGTCGTCAACAACCAGCAGGAAGTACCGCTCGTGGCCCTGTCCACGGACGCGGGCTGGGCCCCACACGTCCAGGTGGAGAGTCCGCAGGGGAGCCTCTGTGGGAGGGAACGAGGAGGAGTGAGGAGCGGCGCGCTGCCGCCCCTCGACGCAAGGAATGCAGGGCGGCGCAAGCGAGGGAGGCAGGGCAGGCAAAGACCTGGGCAGACCAGAAACCAGGAAGCGAGAGTGCATGCCACGAAGGCGCTGCACCGAGGGGTGACCAAGGCGGTGGTGCCACAGGAGCGTCTGGTGCGACAAAGCGCGACACTCGCAGGGGGCCGTCGGCTGACCTGACGCAGATGCAGACGCAGCTACCTGAGGGGACTCAGTGGTCAGGGTGTACAGACTCGAGCCAGGCGCACGGGAAAACGTGGCCAGGTGTCGGCCGGTCCGAGCACACGTACAGTGAGTCACTCGCTGACTCGCAGGAGTGAACTGGTGCACCCCCCTATCCTGGAGGTCAGCTCCACTCACCAAGTTCGTAGAGAACGAGGGGAGGTAAAGACCTGACAGCAAGCCAGACGGGGCGGCCGGACACGGCAGAACCGTGGAGTAGTGGGCAAGGACTGGACCCCCGGAGGGGTCCGCCAGGGAGACTGGAACCGGCCGACTAAGCGGCGTGAGTGTGGTACAGTCGCGAAAGAAGGAGCGGGAAGCACCTGAGTCAAGCGTGAAGGTGTACAAGGCCGCAGCAGGCGCAGAACCAGAGAGAGCAGACTCACCAGCACCTGGAGCAGGAGACGTACCGGCACCTAGAGCAGCAGCCTCACCAGCACCCAGAGGAGGAGACGCACGAGCACCTAGAGCAGCAGCCTCACCAGTACCGGGAGCAGCAGGTGCTATACCAGGGTCAGGCGGGACGCACAGGTAACAGGCACGGTCAACACTAGTAGGCAATGCATACATGGCAGTGAGAATAGCATCATAGTCAGGAGCAAAGATATCTACCCTCTGTCCAAGCAGCTCCAGCCAGTCGGGGAGCTCAGCCTCGTCGCCAAACACTGTACGCTAGTCATCGCTCAGACGGGCGAAGCAGCGGGACTGTGTGTGACCAAGCGTCCCGCAAGGCTGACCAACCCGATCACCTGTGCGAATGACGTACTGGCAGCGAACTGTACGCGTAGACCTGCTACACTGAGCGTACCACTCGTGGAGCTGCCGGGACGTAAGTGTCTCGCGTGGACGCCGCTGCAGCTGCAGCTGGCCACCGCCAGACGCTCCCAACTGACCAGCTCCAGGGGGACAGCTACGACGGCTACCGCGACAACCCCAGCTAGTATACCACTCACTAAGCTGCTGGGGCGTGAGAGACTCACGTGAACGTCGCTGGAGCTGCATCTGGCCACCTGCCAGTAGCAGTAGCAGCAGCAGTAGCGCGGGCAGGGCAGGCGCGGCAGGCCGACAGGCAGGCAGGCCGGCAGGCAGACAGACAGGCAGGCCGGCAGGCAGGCAGGCAGGCAGGCAGGCAGGCAGACAGGCAGGCAGGCAGGCAGGCAGGCCGGCAGGCAGGCAGGCAGACAGGCAGGCCGGCAGGCAGGCAGGCAGGCAGGCAGGCAGGCAGGCCGGCAGGCAAGCAGGCAGGCAGGCAGGCAGACAGGCAGGCAGACAGGCAGGCAGGCCGACAGGCAGGCAGGCAGGCAGGCAGACAGGCAGGCAGGCAGGCAGGCAGGCCGGCAGGCCGGCAGGCAGGCAGGCAGACAGGCAGGCCGGCAGGCAGGCAGGCAGGCAGGCAGACAGGCAGGCAGGCAGGCAGACAGGCAGGCCGGCAGGCAGGCAGGCAGGCAGGCAGGCAGGCAGGGAGACAGACAGGCAGGCCGGCAGGCAGGCAGGCAGGCAGGCAGGCAGGCAGGCAGGCAGGCAGGCAGGCAGGCCGGCAGGCAGGCAGGCAGACAGGCAGGCCGGCAGGCAGGCAGGCAGGCGCTCACCAAAGGCTGGAAGAGCAGGCGCTCGCCGGGCGAGCAGGGCCGGCGCTCGACGGGCGGCGGCCGAGTAGGCGCACGACAGTGGCGACGTCGGGGCCGCAACACCGGGTGCAGAGTAGGGCCGAAGCAGCTGCAGGGCGGGGCCGCTTCAGCGGCAGTTGCAGGGTGGGGCCGCGTCAGCGGCAGGTCGGGGCCGTGGCAGCTGCAGGGCGGGGCCGCATCAGCGGCAGGTCGGGGCCGAGGCAGAGGGACGCGCGCGGCTCGGCGCGGGCTGCGCTGACAGCGCGCTGGGCTGCTGCAGGCCGCGCGCGGCCGCGCTAGGCAGTAGCGGGCCGCGCGCGGCTCGGCGCGGGCTGCTGCGGGCCGCGCGCGGGCCGCGCGAGGCAGTAGCAGGCCGCACACGGCTCGGCGCGGGCTGCTGCGGGCCGCGCGCGGGCCTCGCGAGGCAGGATCAGGCCGCGCGCGGCTCGACACGGGCTGCGTGGGCTCGGCGCGGGCTGCGCGCGGCAGCAGCGGGCTGCGCGCGGCTCGGTGCGGGCTGCGCGCGGTTGCAGCGGGCTGTGCGCGGCTCGGTGCGGGCTGCGCGCGGCTCGGTGCGGGCTGCGCGGGCTCGGTGCGGGCAGCGCGCGGCAGCAGCGGGCTGCGCGCGGCTCGGTGCGGGCTGCGCGGGCCTGAAGGGCGTGTAGGGGCGGCGCGCGGGCCTTACGGGCCTCTAGGGGCAGCGCGCTGGCCTAGGGCAGCAGGAGGCAGCGTTCGGGCTGCTGGACGGCTCGCGTAGTGCAGCACAAGGCAAGGTAAGGCAGGCAGGTACGTGGGGTAGCGCGGTAACTGCAGCGGTAGGTGGGCCTGAAGAAAACGGTCCTACGGACCTTAGTGCTCTGAAACCATGTTAGAATCATGCAGGAGTACAAGTAGGAAACCCTAATTGGGTTGTACCCCATATGGGCTACCCCACTACAGCCTAGACAATATGCAGCATATATGTTTGACAAGCACAGGAAAGGATTACGAGTAGGAACCAATACAAGCGATCTCAAGGCAACCGTTTCAGGGGTTCACTTTCGAAATGCGACTGTTTGCTGCATTCTCGCCGTTTCATGCTGGCGGGAGAATGCGAACTCCCACGCAACCCTTACCATTCGCCGTCTTCCATCCAGCACGTGGCCGTCATGTTCAACGTGATCGCCTTCGAGCCTGTGTCCGTCTCCTAATCAAATCGCCCCGACCGATTCGCAGGCTTGACAAAAGGGTGAGTGCACGACAAGGTTAGCGAGTGAAGTCGGGAGTGCAGGAATCAGGACGGGCGGACGGAACAAAGGGGGTAGAAAGGGCGGAAAGAGGGGAATGACGAGATAGAGAAGAAGATTAGAGAGCAAAGGTCGTAAAAGGGGAGGAAAGGGTTGAGCGGAAGGAGCAGAAAAGGCCTCGCCTGCCGCACTGTTACAAAAGGCCTAGGATGTGGCAGAAAGCTTGGAGGGGATGGAGGGAGAGACGGCTGCTGTTGTAAATTGCCGTTGCTGCAGTTCCACAACCCTCTCCTGTTAAATTATAATGTGTTGGTAGGCTGTAGTGGGGTAGACAATATAGGGTACAACCCCATTAGGGTTAGGTACTTGTACTCTTGTTCTCCTTTCATTCTTGCCTAGAATCTTGACATGGTTTCAGAGCAGGAGGTCCCTAGGACCTACCGACCTTTTTTTTAGGGCCCACCGTCGCACGCATGCGGTTACCACGCTACCCCGCGCCCTACCCTCGATGCGCCCTCGTTGCGCCCTAGCTGCGCCCTCGTGCGCCCTCGTTAGCGCCCTCGCGCGCCCTCGTTAGCGCCCTCGCGCGCCCTCGCACGCCTTCACTGCGCCCTCGCGCGCCCCTCGTTAGCGCCCTCACGCGCCCCAGTTAGCGCCCTCGTGCGCCCCTCGTTAGCGCCCTCGTGCGCCCTAGCTGCCCGCCCTTCGCGCTGCCCGCCGCGCTGCCCGCCGCGCTGCCCGCCGCGCTGCCCGCCGTCGCGCTGCCTGCCGCGTCGCCCGCCAGTCGCGCAGCCCGCTGCGCTGCCCGCTCGCCGCGCTGCCCGCCCGTCGCGCTGCCCGCCCGTCGCACTGCCCGCCGCGCTGCCCGCCGTCGCGCTGCCTGCCGCGTCGCCCGCCTGTCGCGCTGTCCGCCGCGCTGCCCGCCCGACTGCCCGCCCGTCGCGCTGCCCGCCCGTAGCCCTACCCGCCCGCCGCCAGCCCTGCTGCTGCCGCGGCCGCCCCTTCTCCCCTACGCGCGCAGCCCCGCGGCCCCACGCACCCGCGTGCGCCGCTCGCCTCGCCTGCTGCTCCCTGCCCGTGCACCGCCGCTTGCTCCTGCTGCGGCTGCTAGCTTCGCTCTAGCGCGTCCCCTCTGCTGCTGCCGCTGCTCTGCTGTGCCCTCACGCCTGAGCTATGGCCTCTATTCGCGTTCTTTCCTTCGATGCTGAGGGCCGTCCCGTGCAGTTCACTTCCTGGCTCGACGACCTGCAGTTGTATCTTATGAGCAATAGCACGGACCACGTCTCCCTCTATGACTACGCGTCTGGTGCTGCCGCTGCTCCTGCTGCCACAGCCGAGCTTAGTGTACGTTCCCAGTGGCAGACTCGTGACGCTGCAGCTCGCCTGGCTATTCGCAGTCACCTGCCGTTCGCTGAGCTAGAGCACTTTGGCGACTGCAAAACCGCTAAGGCCCTGTACGACGCTGTCGTTGCTCGCTACTCCTCACCTGCCACAGCCGAGCTTAGCCGCCTCATGCTGCCTTACCTGTTCCCTGAGCTGTCCACCTTTGCTACAGTCGCCGATCTCATCACCCACCTTCGCACTAGTGACGCTCGCCTGCGTGCCGCCCTTCCCACCGAGTTCTGCGCTAAGAACCCCCCTCCACTGTACTGGACGCTCCATTTCATAGTCACCCGTCTCCCTGACACCCTCAGCTCAGTCCGAGACTACTTCCTTGCCCGCTGTCCCACTGAGCTCACAGTCGCCCTCCTAGAGGAGAAGCTGCTAGCAGCCGAGAAGAGCATTGTAGCTGTAGGTGCTGCTCGTGGCGCTCCTCGCACCCCCATCTTTGAGGGGTGTTCTCCCTCTCCCCTCGCTCCCTCCTACGCTACTGCTGCTGCTGTTGACCTCCTTGGTGCTGAGTCTGCTGGCGCTGCTTCTGCTCCTGGTGGGAGGCGCCGCACCGGCAAGGGCAAGGGGGGCAAGGGTGGCGGGGGTGGCGCTGGGGGGGGAGGGGGTGGGGGAGGTGGGGGGGGAGGCGGTGCTGGAGGGAGCGGTGGCGGGAGTGCTGGTGGGAGTGGAGGCAGCGGTGGGGGCGGGGGCGGCGGCGGGAGTGGCGGCAGCGGTGGCGGCGGTGGCAGTAGTGGCGGTGGCGGCGGCGGCGGTGGCGGTCGGAGCGGCGGTAGTGGCGGCGGTGGTGGTCGGAGTGTAGGCCCCAGCTCGGGCCAGACCTCTCAGCAGCAGCAGCGTCCTCAGACGACCCAGCAGCTCCGTGAGTGGCTTGCTCAGCGTGGGACGTCGGGTGGCTGTGGTCGCTGTTCCTATGTCATTCGCACAGGTGAACGCAAGGGGCAGAAGTGTGGGAGGTTCCACACCCAGTACCGCTGCTTCTCCCGCCTTGACGACGCTTGGCGTGAGGAGATGGGCGAGGAGGTTGAGCGCCCCCGCTGGGCTGATCTGATGAGGGCTGGTGTTGATATCTTTGCTCTTGATTATGATGCTATTATTGCTGCCATGTATGCATTGACTGTTAGTGCTGAGGGGGACTGTTACTTGTGTGTGCCGCCTGACCCAGGTATAGAGCCCGCTGCCCTAGGTACCAGCGAGTCTGCTCTCTCAGGTACTGTGCCTTCCGAGGCTACTCCCTTCGGTACACCCCCTCCTGCTAGCGAGTCTGCGCTCTCCGGTACTGCGCCCGCTGAGGCCTTGCACACCTTCACGCTTGACTCAGGTGCTTCCCGCTGCTTCTTTCGTGACAGTACTGAGCTCACTCCCCTCCCTGCACCAGTTCCAGTCTCCCTGGCTGACCCCTCCGGGGGTCCAGTTCTTGCACGGTCTACCACTGTGCTTCCCTGTCCGGCGGTTCCGTCTGGCTCGTTGTCGGGTTTCCACCTCCCCTCGTTCTCTACGAACTTGGTGAGCAACGCTGTTATCCAGGATCACTGGGTTGACACCTTCACCCCTGGAGGACAGCGTGTGGCGATCCTCACGTGCTCCAGGACTGGCCGTCACCTGGCTACGTTCACTCGTCAGCCGGGGTCGAGTCTCTACACACTGACCACTGCGTCTCCTCAGGTCGCTGCTGTTGGTCAGGTGTCTGCGTCAGGTCTAGTAGCCCACCCCTGTGAGTGTCGCTCCCTGTCGCACCAGACCCTTCTCTGGCACCACCGCCTGGGTCACCCCTCCTTGCCGCGCCTTCGTGGCATGCACCGTCGTCACCTTGTGTCCGGTCTTCCCCGGTCTCTCCCTCCCCTCCCTGCCTCGCCTGCGCCGCCTGCCTTCTTTGCGTCGAGGGGCGGCAGCGCGCCGCTCCTCACTCCTCCTCGTTTCCCCCGACCGAGGCTCCTCTGCAGACCCTCCACCTGGACGTGTGGGGCCCAGCCCGCGTCCGTGGACAGGGCGGTGAGCGGTACTTTCTGCTGGTTGTCGACGACTACTCGCGTTACACCACGGTCTTCCCCTTGCGCACCAAGGGTGAGGTCCCTGCTGTTCTGATCCCTTGGATCCGCACAGTTCGTCTCCAGCTCCGCCGCCAGTTCAGGACAGAGCATCCTGTCATGCGTCTGCACTCTGACAGAGGTGGTGAGTTCTCCTCTGACCTCTTGAGGGCCTTCTGTCAGGCGGAGGGCATCGAGCAGTCCTTCACGCTTCCGGGCTCCCCGCAGCAGAATGGGGTTGCAGAGCGCCGCATTGGCCTGGTCATGGAGGTCGCTCGTACCTCCTTGGTTCATGCGGCGGCTCCCCATTTTCTGTGGCCGTTTGCTGTCCGGTACGCTGCGCATCAGCTCAACCTCTGGCCCCGTGTCTCCTTGCCGGAGACCTCGCCCACACTACGTTGGACGGGGGAGGTCGGAGATGCGTCGCGCTTCCGGGTGTGGGGTTCTCGTGCCCTTGTCCGCGATACTTCCGCGGACAAGCTCTCCTCCCGCACACTTCCCTGTGTCTTCCTTGGCTTTGTCCCTGACGCGCCAGGCTGGCAGTTTTACCACCCCACCTCGCGCCGGGTCTTCGCCTCTCAGGACGTCACCTTTGACGAGTCGGTTCCTTTTTACCGTCTCTTCCCCTACCGCACTGCCCCCCTCCCCCCCCTCGCCGCTTTTCCTTGCTCCAGGTCCCCCTCCGGTAGACCCCCTTCCCCCTCAGGGTCCTGCTCCTTCAGGTGTCTCTCAGGTAGACCCTCCTCCTGTCGCTGAGCCTGTCGAGGTCACAGGTGACTCAGGTGCTGCTGCAGGTGGTGCTGCTGGGGTTGCTGAGCCTGGGGGTGCTGTGCCTGGGGGTGCTGAGCCTGGGGGTGCTGAGCCTGGGGGTGTGGAGCCTGGGGGTGCTGAGCCTGAGGGTGCGGAGCCTGGGGGTGCTGGGACCGTGGGTGCGGGGCCTGGGGGTGCTGGGCCTCGAGTTCGTCTGGGGGTGCTCAGGGTGTTGAGTCGCCTCTCCGGGAGCCTCTCACACAGCGGCAGCTCCGTGAGTGGTACGTCCGGCGCTTTCGCCTTCCGCGTGGTGCAGCTGGAGCTGGAGGCGCTGAGACTGGGGACACTGGTGCTGGAGGTTCTGGCGGTGCTGCAGCTGCTGGTTCTGGGGGTGCTAGTCCTGGGGGTACTGCGGCTGCCGGAGCTGGTTGTTCTGGAGGTCCTGAGCCTGGTGCCACTGGAGCTGGAGACACTGGAGCTGGAGGTACTGGAGGAGCTGGAGCTGCTCGTTGTCGCGGTGCTCCGTCTGAGGGAGCTGAGCCTGTGCTTGAGGGGTCTGGGTGTGCTGCGTCTGGGGGTGCTGAGTCTGGGGGTGCGTCGCCAGTGGAGGCTGCGCCCTGGACTGGCCGCCTTCGTTCGCGTGTTCCTCTCACCTCCCAGCAGCTGCACGACTGGTTCGGTCGCCGTCAGCGTCGCCCTCCTGGAGCTCCGGACTCTGCTGCTGGTGGTGCCTCTTCTGTCGCCACTGGAGCTGAGAGTGGTGCTGGTTCGTTGTCTCCTGGAGGTACTCCCGTCGCTGGTCCCGGAGGTGCTCGTACCGCTGGTACTCGAGCTGCTGGGGCTGGTGGTGCTGTGTCTGAGGGTGCTACCGCTGGGGACGTTGCGACTGGAGACCCTGGGACTGGAGGTGCTGGTTCTGGGGGTGCTGCTGCTAGTGGGGACAGTCCTGGAGGAGCTGACACTGGGGGTGGTGGTGTCGCTGGAGGTGCTGGAGCTGCTGGTGCTGGCGGTACTGTACAGTCGCGCCTGTTCTTCGCTCCGCCGTCGCCGTCGTCTCTGCCGCCGTCTGACTCTGTCCTTCGCCAGGTTCTTAGTCTTCCGTCTTCTACTGGTCTACTGGTCCTTTCTGCCTGGCTCGCCCTTGCCTGCTCCTTCTCCTTACACTGAGCAGTCAGGGGGTCTTACTGAGCGTCGTGAGCCTACGTCGCGTCCTGTCTCGCCTGTTCGTTCTGGTCGTTCCGCTCGCCGCGTCTCGCACCAGCGTTCGCCGCCTGTTGCTGGTTCTCGCCTTGTCGTCCGTCGTCCCTCCTCTGTACCACAGTCGGTTCCTCTGCCGTCTCCTCCTGCGTCTTCTCTGCCTGACGTTCCGGACCCTGCGTCTGACCGTTTTCGTGCTGAGCACCCTACCGTCACGCGTCTGTTAGCCACTGCTGTCACTGACCCGTCTTTTGAGTCGGCTGCTGCGTCTGCCCTGGTCGCTGAGCTTGTTGACTTTGCTGCTGTCTGTCGTCTAGACTAAACTGCCAGTCTTGTTGCTGAGTCTGAGTCTGTCTGTCCTCCGTCCGTCGGGGGTGAGTGTGCTCTTGGCACGGACGTCCTTGAGGACAGGCAGGAGGACTTTGACTCTCTTGCGGCTGCTGTACCTCATCTCGTGGCCTGGCTGCTTGCCCCTGAGGGAGACCTGGATGCACTAGACATCCCCACTCCGCGCTCTTACGCAGAGGCGATCTCGGGTCCCTACTCCTCTCAGTGGCAGACAGCCATGGACGCAGAGATGGCATCCTGGAAGTCCACAGGCACCTACGTCGACGAGGTTCCCCCTCCAGGGGCGAACATAGTCGATGGCATGTGGATTTTTAGGGTGAAGCGGCCGCCTGGTTCTCCGCCTGTCTTCAAGGCTCGTTACGTTGCACGAGGCTTCAGTCAGCGACAGGGAGTTGACTTCTTTCAGACCTTCTCCCCTACCCCAAAGATGACCACTCTTCGGGTGTTGCTGCACGTTGCTGCTCAGCGTGACTACGAGCTGCACTCTCTTGACTTCAGCACAGCTTTCTTGCAGGGCAGCCTCCACGAGGAGATCTGGCTGCGCCGCCCTCCTGGCTTCACTGGGTCGTTCCCTCCTGGTACCCAGTGGAGCCTTCGGCGGCCAGTCTACGGTCTCCGCCAGGCGCCACGCGAGTGGCACGACACACTGAGGACTACACTTGCGGCCCTTGGGTTTGCTCCTTCCACTGCTGACCCGTCACTGTTCCTGCGCACAGACACGTCGCTGCCGCCATTCTACATCCTCGTGTACGTCGACGACTTGGTCTTTGCTACTGCTGACACTGAGGCACTCGCTCGTGTGAAGTCGGAGCTGCAGAAGAGACACACGTGCACTAACCTTGGTGAGCTGCGCAGTTACCTTGGCTTGCAGATCACCCGGGACAGAGAAAGCCGCACCATTACCCTGACTCAGTCACACATGGTGCAGCAGGTCCTTCAGCGCTTCGGCTTCCAGTTCTCCTCACCACAGGCCACACCTCTGGCTACCAGTCACTCGCTCTCAGCTCCACCTTCGGACGAGTCTGTAGAGCCGAGTGGCCCGTACCCAGAGCTTGTAGGCTGCCTCATGTACTTGATGACTTGCACGCGACCTGACCTCGCGTACCCTCTTAGCATCCTTACTCGTTACGTTGCGCTTGGGAGACACAGGCGAGAGCACTGGGAGGCTGCTAAGAGGGTGCTGCGCTACTTGTGCAGTACATCAGGCATGGGGCTGGTGCTTGGAGGACGCAACAGAGTTGCCCTCACTGGTCACTCAGACGCTTCTTGGGTGGACGACCTGGCTACGCAGCGGTCGTCACAGGGTTACACTTTCAGCCTTGGCTCTGGTTCTGTCTCTTGGCGGTCCACCCGCTCTTCTTCTGTTCTCAGCTCTAGTTGTGAGGCTGAGATCTACGCCACGGCCATGGCTGCACAGGAGTTACGCAGGCTCACCTACCTGCTGACTGACTTGGGAGAGCGGCCTAGTTCTCCTCCAGTTCTGTACGGAGACAACAAGGCGGCCCTTGCCTTGTGTCAGGAGCACAGACTGGAGCACAGAACGAAGCACATTGCTCTTCGCTACTTTCTTGCTCGAGAGCTGCAGCAGCGTGGTCAGCTTCGTCTTGTGTACGTGGACTCGAAGGCCAATACTGCTGATATCTTCACCAAGGCGCTTCCGCCTAGTGATCATCAGCGGCACTGTACTGCGTTAGGCCTTGTGTCCACATTACCTCATTTGCTTACTGCTTGACTTTCTTTGTACTGTGATTTATATATATCGCTGCTTGCTTGCTAGGTTTTGATCACTGTGTTGCTTGTCTTGTTCTATATATATAGCTCTGCATGTGAACTGGCCTTGTGGCCTTTGCTTGTGTTCAGAGTGTGGTGACGTTGTGATCCACCCTGGGCTTGCTTTGCTTTGCTGGACTGGTCTTGTGACCCCTTGTTCTCCCCCACTTTGCCTATGGGGGTGTGTTGAATTATAATGTGTTGGTAGGCTGTAGTGGGGTAGACAATATAGGGTACAACCCCATTAGGGTTAGGTACTTGTACTCTTGTTCTCCTTTCAATGCATTCATTCTTGCCTAGAATCTTGACATCTCCCTCCTGTCGTGCTTTCATGCTGACGTGGCAGCCGACGCGGTTCTTGGAACTTATCAAGGGCGTGAAGTGGTGAGGCTGTTTTGGAAGTGGAAGGGGGGAGGGGGTTCTTTTTGCTCTGAGCATTCTTTTTGCTCGGAGCGTTCTCTTTGCATAGGAAGGCGTTTGCAGTGTTGGGAGGGAGCGAGAGAGTTGTCAACCAACAAGAAGCGCTCATAGATTGTGATTTCCTTGTGGTTGTCAATTGCATTGGTGTCTTTAGATCTGCTGACATCATGCCTACATCATCTGCTCCATTTGACATCAGCGTGATATGATCTCATGTCCATATTTGCATTCTCACATGCTCATGCATGCAGTGCACAAAATAACATGTTTGTTACATGGACACACACATGCAGTGCACAAAATAACATGCTTGTTACATGGACACACACATGGCATCACATCGAGCAGTACATGCACGTCACTCATGCCCTCCACTCACAGCACCTTCTCTCACCCACCTCAACCTCCCTCGCTCACCATTTCCTCCACTCCCCCCCGCAACCCCCACTTGCCCCTCGCTCTGCCCCTCCTCCCCGTTTCATCATCTCCCCCATCCACACCCATTTTCCCCGTCCCCTCCCATCCTCCCCTTTCATTGTACCGCACCCCCTTCCCCCTTTGTCCTTAATAAATAACTACCCTATGAGTCTTTTATTATTACCAAACTCTTGATTGTAGCCGTCAAATTTTCAAAACACTGAGTTGTTCTCTGTTGTTTCAAACCGACAGTGATCCCTTGACATCACACCCACCATCTCTTGCCCTCACACACACACACCGTATCACACAATCGGAAACACCATCCCACGCTCTCACACACACCATCTCATGCCCTCACACACCATCTCATGCCCTCACACAACATCTCATGCCCTCACACACTATCTCATGCCCTCACACACCATCTCATGCCCTCACATTGTCAGAATGTGATGGTTGTCTAGCCTGCAGTGGGGTACTCTATAGCGAGTACAGCCCTTCTAGGGTTTGCTATATGTATCCCTATGCTTGTTAGTGAAAACTCTCTTGCTTGTTTTCTCGATTGCGCATAGTATTCCGACATGCTATCAGAGCAGGTCGACCCTCCTGGGTCGATCCTGTGGGTGGTCCCGCCCGTTAGCTTCCGCTGCTGTTCTGTGTGTCGCGCGCCCCGTGGCGCGCGACGGATTTTTCTTCCCGCCACGCGCTCGGGGCGCGTGGCGGTTTTCTGCTCCGTTGACGGTGGCGTTGCCCCCAGGAGCCCGTCGCGTCGCCCCGCAAGCCC